AATGTCTTTTTCTCCATGACACAAGATGTAAATGTGACTAATAGACTCAACGGGTGATAAACAGACATATGTTGATCTTTGAGAAGACAAAAGAGGATTAGGTTTTGTGAAATTCTGGAATACTAGAATACAGGGTATAGTCAGAGGATCATCCTAGTAGCATACATGGCATCCTCTGCCGGACCAATGGTAAGATACCAATTTCTACCACGCAATTTAAAATAGTGTATCATAGATATGAAATAATATAATATGTGCCATATGATATATGGTCTTCTTTTAGCAATAAATTAGCATTTTAACAAGCTGTTGGTTAATTACTACACAACTTGTAGTAATGGGGCAGAAATTTATCTTTTTTCATAGTGATTTTTTTCAAACCAAGCTTCCAGATTGTGCCTTATTCCTGATTTATCTACTGACTTTTGCCTTGCACTTTTACAGAACATTATGGACTCCACCATAGCTAATATCCAATTTGTGTAACTGCATACAAAGTCAGTTTAAAGTCAATTTGACATTACTATGTTCCATGAGTTTGAACAGATGTAGCAATTAGCTAGAACTGGACAACAGAAAAGAAAAAAAAGAGGAAAGAACGCAAAAGAAAAGAAATTTATACCCATCTTTATTCAACACATTTGCTAACATTTTTCTGTTTGTGCCTGATGATTCATGGAAGAACTATAAATGCCTACAGATTCTCTATTTGTATACCAAGAATCACAGCCAAGAACTAAATGGAGCATGGCCACTGCTTCAAACTCAGCCTTCTGAAAACTGCAGTAGATATTCTAAAGCTCCCTAGACTTAAGGGTTCTATCTGACTTAACATGTGCAGAACAAGAGGTGGTACAATTCTTGAATGGCAGAATGGTGAATTTTCCATTGACTGATTCAGTACATAATGGCCCAAGAAATGGTCTAATGGCACACAGAGTACGTTAGCTTTAAGGCGGCTGCACATATAGACTTCTTGGCATCTAAATCTTTAGAGCAGGGGTGGTGAACCTCTGGCCCTCCAGATGTTTTGGATGACAACTTCCACAGTCCTTTATCATTGGCAGTTCAGGCTGGGGATTCTGGGAGTTCCAGTCCAAAACATATGAAGCACCAAAGTTTCACCACCCTTCTCTAGAGGAACATTTAGCTATGTGGGGCCCCATGTAACCAGTACAGTACAGTCAAGATACAGAAGAAGTAGGTCTTAGTTTAAGCCTTTTCAGGGACTGTCTCTGAAACTATCCAGTGTAATTGTAATCACATTACCTGTGATTGAAACATACACAATCTGAAAACAAACTGGGCAATGCTACATCTCTGAGTCTTTTCACGCAATGTATTTTCATCTGCTGACATAATAATTCCTTGATAGGCTTTCCTTCAGACAATGCAGCCCATGGCCCAGCATTATTTAGATGTAGCCATTAGTAACAGTGTTAATGAGAGCTGGAAAAGGACTGACCATGTTCCCAGAATTTGCTGGCAGCTGCATGCATCTGCCATGAGTGACTTGTTCATATGTTGCATCTATTAACATGAACAAGACTGGACAGGACTATCCAAGTATAGAACAGAATGCCTCTTGTAAAGTAACACAGTGCAACACCGGAGCAGCGCTGTTCATGACTGGACCTTTTGGAGGTCACAGGGTTGCCAGAAGTCAGAAGCAACTTGACAGCATATAACAACAACAAAGAAACACAATGAATTGAAACGGACCGCCCAAGCATTGTCATTAAGCAGAAAGCTAAATGATGGCTGAAAGCAGAAATATCTGGTGTCTTTCATCAAGCTGCACTTTAAAAGATTAAGTATATAATATAGGCATTTAAGAAAAATCCAATAGTTATGACCCTGGTTTCAGCAAATTAAGCACCCCTCAAATTAAGGGATAGTTCTTCAGGCCAGAGCATAATCAAGGCTTGTACTCCTGCCTACAAACTGCCCCACAGCTTGATGGACTCGAGGCACAAGCATAGCAATACTTATAGTGCTCATGAGTATGACACTCTCTCCTATTCAGTTCTTGCAACAAGGCAAACTTTGCCAGTCTGTATCTTTGTGCAGAATGACAGGTCCGTCTGTTAGTGATGCTATAGCAAAGTAGGCAGGTAGGCAGAGCAGGACAATGCAATGCAAACTGGATGCCCACAGTTCCCTGTGTGGAGCAAAATATGACAACTGGAAACTTTGCCAGCGTAAAACTTATGGTTGCTTGTTACTCCCAAAAGACTACCTTGGGGGTGTAATTTTGGGGATTTGGGACCATATCTGTGCATTCAGATATATTTTGGTGGAGCAGCAGCAGAAGAAGACAGAAGGGAAGGAACATTATAGTGATGTGCTGCTCATAAAGTGACAAGAAAATGTATTATTATTAAAAAATAAAGAAATGGATTTGATTTTTAAAAAGTCATTCCCAGGCCTATCTTTGATTCTCATTCAGATTATAGTGATGATGTCAGTCAAAGTAACCTGGCTGTTGAGTGCCACGGAGTCTCCTAGGTGCCAATATATTGAAGATGGACAAGATTTGAACCCACCAGTGACCATGCCATTCACCAAAACAAAGCAAAACACATGTGGCATTTTAAAAATAGGCATAAAGGGGTTTTCACCCATAAGCCATCACTGTTGTACAACATTAATTGAAAATGTTGATGCCATCAAGCGAAGAGGAGAGGGCAACCTCTTTAACCCTGTGTCCAGTTAGCGACATTGTGTCAACTGCTTCAGTGCAAGCAAGTTGGATGGAACACAACAAAGCAGATAAGAGGGCTCACTTCAAAATATTGATTCAAGTATAGTGTAAAGTCTATATGGAAGACTATGATACAGAGAAAAAGAGGGAGACAAACACTGTATAATATTTAGAACCCGTACCTTTCCAGATGAAACAACAGTGTTATATTACAGCTAATCAGGTCACAAGAAATAGACCAGAATATGTCTACTGCATCTTACAGAGAAGTACTGCAACTACAGGTAGACGACAGTCAGCTTCTTAACCACAGAGCATCTCAGCACCTTCAACTTCCTCAAGATCACAGAATATTTGAGTTGGAAGGGACTTATAAGGCCATTGAGTCCAACCCCCTGCTAAGTGCAGGAATACAAATCAAAGTAGATCTGACAGATGGTTGTCCATTTTTCTCTTGAATGGCACCAGCATTGGAGAGCTCACCACTTCCCAAGGTGACTGGTTCCATTGTCATACCACTCTAACAGTTAAGAAGTTAGCTGCATGCACTGGAAGTAAGGGTAGCCATCTTGTATTTTGTCTTCATATCTGGCAATTTAAAGTATCTTATGCACCAGAATGCTAGCTAAACCATTTTAAATAGTATTATGCTATATTAGGTACCACACTACTATGTTGAGATATAGTGGATAGGAGCTTCATGGCACATTGGTTAAACTGCAGTACTGCAGCCAAAACTCTTCTCATGATTTGGGTTCAATCCCAGATAGCTGGCTTGAGATTCACTCAATCTTCCATCCTTCCAAGGTCAGTAAGTTGAGTACGCAGCTTGCTGGGGGGAGGGGCAATGTATAGCCTGCTTAACTAAATTGTAAATCACTCAAAGAGTGCTTTAAGTACTACAGGGCAGTATATGAGCAACATATTGTTGTTTTGATAGAGTATCAGACTAGGACTCTGGAGATCTGGGTTCAAATCTCTGCTTGGCCATGAAAATTCACAGGGACTGACAATGGTAAAACCACACCTTAGATATTTCATGTACCTTGAAAACATAATTAGGGCTATTGTAAGTCAAATGTGATTTCACAGCAAATAACACACACAGTACTACTTTGCTTAATTCCTATACTTTGGATTAATCAGACCTGCTTGGTTCTGAGGTGTGAACATGTTTTAAAACTTGGGTGATTTTATATGTTTCCTTGCTTTATTCAATAACTGTGATCCATTTTGTAATATACAGAATATTTTTAAACTATTATTCTAAATCATGTTTGAAGATTATTTGTTTGGAATGCATAGCTATGACGGTGGAAAAAACAACACCCCTGAATTAGTTACTGTAGTATTTTTGTTCAGGTTTCTTTTATTCCAGATATTTATTTTTCCCCAAGCCTATAAAATTAGAACTGTTGCCCAAACCCTCAAACTGCCTATATTTTCTGCTTCACAACCGATTGCATCTAAATGAGTAGTTTTTCAGATTTTTTTAAACCCCAGGAAACTCTTTCCACACAGATCTGTCTGCATAGGCACAGAAGTCTATGACACATTTAAAGAAGTACTCTCAGTTCATATGCAAGATCACTCCAGCTTGTCGAGGTGCTCACTTAATGCAAAGCTCCCCACCTTCCCCCAGTTTACATGTTACAAACTGTATAGAATATTTATGTGTGGAAGAAAGTGGTCAAAATCTACCTCAGCTTTTCATTTCTGTGAAACCACCACCAAAGATAGCAAAGTTCTCCCTGTTCAGACTCATCATCCTTCAAAGGGAGGAAGGGGGTGAAAATGGAGGGAGGGTGCTAGATTACCCCTCCCCCCCCCATGAGAGAGAATTCTACACATTTTCTAATGCCTGATTAGAGCTTCAAAGCCTGAAATTCCCTGGGTGGGGAGAAGAACGACAATGGCAGTTTATCTGTTTTTAGGCAGCACATCATTAACGGTCTTCTCACTGAAGAACCCCACCTAAGCTTGCAAGAAGAGGAGTCACACTACTGATAAATGTTTACCAAAATACTACTGGCCTTCTATTTTGTCCTTTGTCCTTGAAGGCTAATGTCTGAATTTAAAAGATCCAATGGTTATTTGGCAAGTTATCATGGAGAATGGCCTGACAAATGAAATCAAAAAGCCTTGCAAAGGATCCGAGAAATGCACTGGTGACACATGACCAATCCATAAATTTCTTACACTACAAATTCATGAACTTATATATGCTTAGCTTCCTTGGAATGAAATTTCTTTTTTTTTAAAGTGCCCATAAATTATAGCAGAGATGTTTGCTTACCTCTGTTATATGTGGATTAGGATTGAACCCACATAGGCTGCAGACTACAGTTTGACACTGAGTACATGTATTGTAATTGGCCTTCTCAGGAGTATGTAACAACAGTTCTGTAGTAGTGCAAAGAGGACAAAATGTTTTCTTGGGAGTTGGTTCCCCAGGCTGAGAAGGTTGTTGAGATGAGTCCACGCGACCTTGCTGGGAGACCCCAGACTGTTGAACTGTAGGTTTTGTAGGGCCTGTCCGCTGCTGTGGTTGCTTTGTAGGCCCAGGCTGTTGAGCTGATGGCTTTGCAGGCCCACCAGGCTGCTGGAATTGTTGCTTCGTAGAACCTGCTGGCTGGGGAGCTGGTTGTGCAGGACCACCTGGCTGTTGTACAGGCTGTTTACTGGGTCCTGCTTGCTGGGCAGCAGCCTTTGCTGGCCCTCCTGGCTGTTGAGGTGGTTGCTTTCCAGGTGGTGTTCCTTGTGGGGCTGCTGGCTTGGTAGGGGCAGGTACCTGAGAGGAAGTCTTCAAAGCATCAGGCTGCTGCGAAGATGCTTTTGCAGAAACAGGTTGTTGTGGTGAAGGCTTTGCAGGACTCTGCTGCTGAACCGGTCTTGTAGCCCCTGGTTGCTGGGATGGAGTTTTTGCTGGCCCTTGCTGGGTTTTTGCTTCTTCTGACTGGGGGCCTATTGGTTGGGCAGGCCCTGGCTTCTGAACCTGCTTTGATACCCCAGTTTGTTGTTGCTGTGGTTGTTGTTGTTGCTGCTGCACCTGTTTTGGAGTTCCTGCTTTCTGAGGGGCTGGTTTTGAAGCTCCTTGTTGTGGACCTGTTGGCTTTGGAGACTGCTGCTGTGCCGGTTGCTTGGTGGGTCCCTTCTGTTGTTCAGACTTCTCCTGTTCCTTCTGAACAGGTCTCTGTTTTTTGGAAGCTTCTTCTTGGGCTGTATCTGAGTCAGAGATCAAATCAAAGGGATTGAATTTGTTTACAACCGAAGTAACTGCGCCAAATGGGTTGGCATCTGAGAGGAAGCTGGGCATCATACTTGGCTTCTGATCTTCTTTAAAATCAGTCCTTGATTTAGACTGTCTCAAACTTGTGGAAGATGGGCTCCTTCCAGGTACCCGCTGCTCTGTTTTCAATGTATCTACTGTTCTGCTTTTGCTTAGCGTGGGTTGCCCGGGATCTGGAGGCTTGCCTGGTTGTCTTGGATGGTGGCTGCTCTCAAGCTGAGCATGTCTACAAAAAGGATAGAGATGAATGCATAAGCACAAGTTAAACATTAAGTACATGAATGTCAAAAAAGTAACATTTTCTATTTTGCACAACCCTCACACATGTTGCAATTCTATAACATAAAGTCTTGAAGTCAACTATGTGCCTTCAATGGATGTGCAGATGACATTTCCATTTCTAATGTTTACAATAAAACAACATTTTTAAAGTGCAAGTGTAAACATCAGTCACAGCGCTGCAGGATAAACCGCAAAAGCCTTTGTGTGCTGCAGGGTCAGAAGGCCAGCAGTCGTAAGATCGAATCCACGTGACAGAGTGAGCTCCCGTCACTTTGTCCCAGCTCCTCACCAACCTAGCAGTTCGAAAGCATGTAAATGCGGGTAGATAAATAGGTACCACCTCGGTGAGAAGGTAAACAGCGTTTCATGTATTGCCGCGCTGGCCACATGACAACGGAAACTGTCGTCGGACAAACGCTGGCTCTATGGCTTGGAAACGGGGATGAGCACTGCCCCCTAGAGTCGAACATGACTGACTAAAATGTCAAGGGGAACCTTTACCTTAAACATCAGTCAGCACGGGCATGACACAAATATTTCTGACATGCCTTGGTGAATGACCTAAAATCTTAGCACTAAGGGTAGACACTCATTACATTTCAAACATGTAATACATCACATGTATTGGCAGCACAGTAATGCCATGAAGCCGTACACATGTAAATGGCAAAAACCCATGAAAATACAAAATTTCAAAACTGCTATGTGTAGAAAATGACTGTCTTCTAAAAGAGTCTATGAAGGAATCTACTCCATCCAATCCTGCAATTTGTGCAGCACAATTCAAATAATCAAAGCATTGAGGAAAAGACTAAATACTATTTTCAAAATACCCATACTGTAGCTATTTGGCTTAACCTGGACAACCAAGCCGAATAAATCCTTCCAGTACTGTTGTCTATAAAATGTTAGGCAAGAGCAGAAGCACCCTAAAGGCAAGTTCTGTATTACAGCATTTTCTGTACTACCAGATTAAAGATTATAATAATATATATTGATCAAAAGTTAATAAAATGCTCATCTTTTAATTCATAAGGAACGAGGAAAGAATTGCAATGGATAATGAAAAGTACAGTATATACTGTAGATGAAGGCCTCTTGTTGTAGCAAGCTTACAGAGCTGTATAAATTGCTAATTCCCTGGAAGGAAGCCAGAAAGAAATTGTACTCTGTTTAACAGAATATCACTGTTTTGTTTTTACTGAAAGCTTGAGGTGCTATGTATTTCTCCGTCTCCCGAGGAACAATGTTCCTCAGCACTTCCACTGTACTGTGAGTTGTGATTAGCTTTGCAGCATCTGCAGTTAAACGGAGCCCCACAAGTCCAGATACTTTATTCTCCATTGCGTATTAATTTAAAAAATGGCACTCATTACATTTAACCCATCAAAATATCCCTGTTCTGAGAACAATAAAAACAAAGTGATTCTGCAATAATGTTTAATTAAGAGTTTCATCAGAAGTGGGTTGTTTCAGTTGTATAAATAGCACAAGCATGCCACAACAGAATTCTTCAAATGCTGAAGGACATTATTTTTAATTGGTTCATATTTTAGATTTTGTAGATGTTTCATAGAATGGCACATTATCACAGGGAAACTTCCAAGTTATTCGGCTATTGCTGAATGCTTCTGAAGCATGAGTAGAGTTTTGGCTGCAGTACTGCAGCTTAATCACTGTGCCACAAGGTTCTTCCATACAAATGGAAAGAGGATACTATCACTTATTTCTAGTTACGAGTGGAAAAATAGTTGGCTTCACTTTCTCCTGCGTTATAATACTTCATGTCCTTTCTATCTCAAATACTGTATTTGATTTCAGAATAATTTCATTTTCTCTGTTTGGAAAGGATTTAGAACATATCTTTCCTACAAGGAATGTGGCAGCAGCCTGGCAGTTGCTGACAAATATGCCATCATCCTTAACTAGCATAATAGCAGAGCTATGCAGATTTGTACCGTGTTCATACAGTAGATACCCCTTTATCTATAACTTCATTTTAATTCTTGCCCCTAAGTTACGAACAAATATCTTCAGGACACTGAAACTGAATCTATTACATACTGTATTTTCATTTCAGACTAATGATGTAGCATTCGTATTGAGAGAATGAAGAACTTACAAATGCAGCCATTTTAATGGGATCTTCTTGATGCCAAGTAATATCAGAACTAAACCACATTGTTTAAGTCTGTAAACATATATAATATAGAAAAAGTATGCTGTGTTTTAAATGACTGCATATAGAAATTGAAGAACATCAAATAAATAGAAGGAGCTACACCGAAGCAGCCAGAAGGCCTATGTAACCCAATGTTGTGTATCTTTTTGAAATTCTGTTATCACTAAAAGTGGTGGTAGTCATTAGTTTATTTGCTTTATAAGAAGCACAACAAATTCAGTAACAACATTGCTGTGGATGTGTCTGATTTAACATTTCGAGAAGGTAAATTTCAAATCAAACAAGGAAACATAATCTGAGCTTGTTTGCAGAACTATCTTGTTACATACTAGTGCTTAAGCTTAATTCAATACAGGTGAATGCATTAAATTTTAGTACATTAAGCTCATTTAAATAGCATGGTGAAAGCAGAAAACAAAAAAAAATCAACAACTCCTAGCACATATACCCATTAAAAAAATAATGCTATTACTGTTGTTGTGTGCTGTCAAGTTGGAACCAACTAACAGTGACCTTCATAGGGCTTTCAAGGTGAGATATCTGAGTGATTTAACCAATTTCACCCCCCCCCCCAGTGAGCTTCCATAGCTGAGCAGGGATTGGAAACCTGTTCTCTGGAGTCCTAGCCTATCATTCTACCCAATATACCACACTAGGTATCAATGTTATTATTATGGATGAGCATATCTGTCAATTTTGCTTTCTCCATACTGAAATTTTGCATTTTGCAGTAAATTGTAATACAATGTACTGCAATGGAATACTCATTCATTCCTTGTTTACATCTGAACTTAATAAGATATTTCTCAGATGATGCACACACAGTCTAGAAGTTGTCCCACATATTATTTGGAATCTGAAGATTTCCTAGGATCAAAAATTGAGATTGACTGGGTGTGCGTGTGGCAAAGCTATTTGGCAAAACTCAAGGGAATCCTCTTTAAAGTTTTCACATTCAGAATACAATGCAGTAGTCTAGTTTGGATGCAGGTAGAGCATGTGTGAATGAAGCTATGTCTGCTTTCTCTAGATACAGCTACAACAGGTAAATAAACTGAAGCTTGTAAAGAGCACTGCCAGAAATTATAGTAGTTAGGAGAAATCTCAGTAGTTTTTTTTTAATCCAGCATACATCATTCTAAATTCTGATGTACAGGCATGGCATCTGAAAACAGACTGTTCTTCACAGCTCTTCTATATGGTAAATCATAACCAAGAGAATGAGACCAACTTCTTGAAATGCTAAAATGATTTTCCTCCAGTGGGATGTGTGAAATCTCATAGCTCAAACAGTCTTGTCACCAAGACAGCCCAAACCACTCCCTGTTGATCTGGAGCTACTAATGCTAAATTCCCCAGTAAAGCTGCATTGAAGATAACAGGTATGATGTGCTTCAGTATAATAAGTTCCTATTAATTTAAGTAGTGGTGCACTCTTTAAAAATACAATCCTGTTGGAAACCAGGGTTTCCATCCAATCAATATGATTGGCAATACCTGTTTGTACAAGTAGTTCAAGTTGGTTTCAATGCTCTACTGCACAAGCAACTTTTGCTTCTTACTCTTGTGCAGAGCTGACTGTACCAATGCACAGTCACACAAGCACAGCAAAATTGCATGGTTGTGTAAGCGCGCAGACACACTATTGTACAAGCATGACAGTCTTGCAGGATCCATCATGGTAATTCTGGTAAGGATTTTCACTCTGCCAGCTTTCAGTTGGAATTAGGCCTAACAAGGTAGCAATTTTTCTTTCCCCCGTGGGGAAACAAAAAGGAGACTGGAATTTACTGTCTGTCACTTCAGGTAGACATATGCAGCACACATTCCCTCCCAAACGATTGTGTGAATAGGATTCTGTGAACTAGCTAAAAATGAAATCATAATTTACGAATGCTGCTCACAACTACTTCAGAACCTCAGGCCATCTTTGACCCTTGAGCTATTATTCCTTACAGCCTCCATCCAATGAGCAAGGTGATTATCAAGACTGTGAACTATTAGTCTTCACTGAAAATGTCTGAGAAAGGACAAATAGCATTTGCTCAAGTATCCTACTGAGAGGTGTAAGTACGCCTTTTGAATAATACCTTGCATTTCTGTCAGTGCTAAACACACTTCTAAAGATTTAAAATATTCTACCATGACCAAAATCAGAGATTTATTTACAAAAATGCAGTAAATTAGTTGAACTTTAAGATGCCACCAAAAACAAAAAACCATTGGGTCCTTTTGATGTGACAGAGTAGAAAATGGCTATTCTTCTGAAGAACAGTGTGCACAATCTTAAACATATTCTTCTATAAATGCCAGTAGAAACAATGGGGTTAACTCTCTAGCCAACATGTTTTGGACTGCAGCCTCAATTGCCTATTCTTAACTCTCTTGGCCACCATTTTAAAAAAAGTTGCCGCCACCATGTATAGGGCTGCTTGGAAGGCTTTCGAATAGAAATTTAAATACATTCTAAACTTTGCTGACTAGCTTGGTTTCCTCGTGCTCCAGAATGCCACTGTTTAGACTGATTTGATGTGGAATATATAGATGCTTAGATGCATCTACCTGCTGCCTAGCAACAGCCATTCATGTAACCCCAGCTGTACTTTGAAAGGCATACATTTTAAAAGGTACCCATCCCACTTTGATTGCCAGAAGACTATAATTATCACCTTATCATTTTCATTTAGTCCTGAAGAATACATGAAAGTGCACTACTGACTACAAAGGTTTGTGGAGTGCACTTTAATAAACATTTACTTAAA